GCAGCCCCTACCTGGCAGCTCCCCCATACCTGGCAGCTCACCCCCATACCTGGCAGCTACCCCCATACCTGGCAGCTCACCCCTCATACCAGCCCCCCAGCCCACCCTCATACCTGGCAGCCACCTCATACCTGGCAGCCCCTCATACCTGGCAGCTCACCCCTCATACCTGGCAGCTCACCCCTCATACCTGGCAGCCTCTCATACCTGGCAGCTCACCCCACACCTGGCAGCTCCCCCAACCTGGCAGCCCCCTCATACCTGGCAGCTCCCCCCACCTGGCAGCCCCTCATCCTGGCAGCCCCCCACCTGGCAGCTCACCCTCCTACCTACCTGGCAGCCACCCTCATCATACCTGGCAGCTCACCCCCATACCTGGCAGCTCCCTCATACCTGGCAGCTCCCCCTCATACCTGGCAGCTCCCCCCTCATACCTGGCAGCCCCCTATACCTAGCAAGTCCTCTTTGTTTACACCTGGGGTTACCTTATTATTGTTTGCGGATTGTCTGTTTTGTTTCTGTTTACTGTCTGTCTGTCTGTCTGTCTTTCTTTTCTTTCTTCCCAGGCATTGCAAAGTCTCTCTCTCTCTCTCTCTCTCAGGAAAGAAAGGGTTCAAGAGTAATTGTTTAGAAGAACAAAGATGATGATGTGTGCTCAACCAAGACAAGAGAAGGCTATGAGTGTGGTTAGGTTAGGTTAGGTTAGGTTAGGTTAGGTGGAGGGGTAGACCGAATCAAGTTTGTTCACCCTGACGTTTGATAACAACAACAACAATAACAAAGGAAACTATAATAGCCTCTTTTCACCTTGGATGAATAAACTGAGAGAGAGAGAGAGAGAGAGAGAGAGAGAGAGAGAGAGAGAGAGAGAGAGAGAGAGAGAGATTGAAGGTCGTCTATCCTATGCTGCATGAAAATATCTTCTCTCCTTTGCATCTACACACACACACACACACACACACACACACACACACACACACACACACACACACACACCGTCTCCTCCTCCAGCAGACACTCGCCCTCGTCAGTAGTGGCTGCGTCAAGAGGACCGACTTTGTTAAAAAAAAATAACTGAGTAGTTCCCCCTCCCGACACCTCAAATAATGACCCGCACCAGGTCCCATTTTTTTTCTACGAACTTCTAATGAGGACGTCATGGGGGGGTGAGCAACGAGGTCTAGACACCCCATAACCCCCCCCCCCCATACCCTCCATCACTGAGGTAAAGGTGGGGGGGGGGAGGGAAGGCACACGACCCCAGGTAGAGATGTGAGGGGAAACTACTGTATTCTAACCTTGACCTGTGTGTGTTGTCCAGTCCCAGAGTTGAGAGAATATAACCACAGTCGAGTCTTGGAACAGATACACCGCCATATTTACTCCCTAGCATGTCTTAGTTAAAGGAGAAAGATACATTTTAATCTATCTATTCTCAGAGAAAAATTTACCTCAGGGATTAACACATTCTCAGATCTGCAGTTAAAGGAAAAAGGCTAATGGACTTGTCTCTGGGAACCTGTCTTTGAGACACCTGGAAGATGTTAATGTAATTCAAGGTGTGTGACCAGGTATAGGCAGGTGTGTGACCATATGTAAGCAGGTGTGTGATCAGGTGTAGGCAGGTGTGTGACCTGCCTACACCTGTGTGACCAGAAATAAAAGTAAGTCTCTCTCTCTCTCTCTCTCTCTGCTAACAATGGAATACACCAAGATTAATAATAATAATAATACGGAAGGTGAACACAAATTCAAGGTAACATTATTTAACCTTTCATTTACAACTAACTGGTATTAACGTTGTGCCCTTGGCGACTAACCCAGACAGGGGGAGGAGGGGTGATCCTGGAGGGAGGGAGGCCGGAGGGGAGTAGGAAATGAGGGAGGAAGGGATTCTGGAGGGAGGCTCTAGGGAAGGAAATGAGGGAGGAAGGGAAGGTGGAAGGATGGAGGGGAAGGAGATATTGAGGGAGAGAGGTTGGAGGGAAGGAAATGAGGGAGGGAGGCTTGAAGGATGAAGGGAGGGAGGGAGGAAGAGAGGCTCAAGGGATGAGAGAGAGAGAGAGAGAGAGAGAGAGAGAGAGGGAGGGGCTAAAAGGATACACCTGGTTTATCAACAACAAACAGAACACCACGAGCTTAAATATATATCAATTATTTTTATGCTGTTATTGTCGAGTCGCTTTCCGTCAACTTCCCGTTCTCAGTTGGTATTCAGAGATATAAAACAAACATAAATGTAATTCTCATATTATTTCTTTGATTCTTACTAAATAAAACTAAATAGAACTACGTCACTGAGGCTCCTCGGCGAATGCGCAGAGAGACATTCATGTTTGTTTACGTTTTCCTGGATCCGGATTCTCGAGGATTCACACTATGTATTTTTTTTTAGTCGCTGATTCTGGGATAAGAGTTCATGTGTCTTTACTTTAGAATCCCAGCTTAGTTTTGATATATTTTACGCTGCATTTAGGATAGGTTAGGTTGGGTTGGGTTGGGTTGGGTTGGGTTAGGTTAGGTTAGGTTAGGTTAGGTTAGGTTAGGTTTCCACAATACCAGAAAGAAAGAAAGCATCACAACAAAAACAATATAATAAATGCTCCAAGTTGGGCTCGTCTCTGTACATCGTGGGTCTCTATTATGTGTTTATACTCGTCAGTGTTACAGCAAAAGTTCATCTCAAACAGGATACAAATTTTTCTTAACTGGATTTTTCACATTTTTGTTTCTGTTGTCAAAACATGACCTTTAGACAGGCAAGTGACGCGACACAGCAGCTGACTTAATGTAAACAAAGACTTTAAAGACCCCCATCAGCTGACTTAATGTAAACAAAGACTTTAAAGACCCCCATCAGCTGACTTAATGTAAACAAAGACTTTAAAGACCCCCATCAGCTGACTTAATGTAAACAAAGACTTTAAAGACCCCCCATCAGCTGACTTAATGTAAACAAAGATTTTAAAGACCCCCATCAGCTGACTTTTGTAGTGGCGTAAATGTTTGTCGTGTAGAATGAGTTTGAGCAATGCAAGATGACACACACACACTTAGAATGCAGTAAGGTAATCCCCATTCAAAGTTTTTGCCGCCAGACATTATTTTATAAACAGAGAGGGAACCCCCCCCCCCCTGTGTGTGTGTGTGTGTGTGTGTGTATCTCCTTACCTCTACCTCCTTACCTCTACCTCCTTACCTCTACCTCCTTACCTCTACCTACCTATTGTACATCTACCTCCCTACCTCTGCTCCCCTACCTACCTCCGTACCTCTCCCTCCCTACCTCTCCCTCCCTGCCTTTACCTACCTATTGTACATCTACCTCCCTACCTCTGCTCCCCTACCTACCTCCGTACCTCTACCTCCGTACCTCTACCTCCCTACCTCTACCTCCGTACCTCTACCTCCAGCCACATCCCCCCCATGACATTACCAGGTTCTCTATGACGTCCCATCCCTTAATGGGGGTGACCTAGATAGTGACGATGGCCGCCAACCTCTGACCTTGTTGACGAAGACTGATCCACCCGTTGATGAGTCTGGCGAAGGTTGGTTGCGCTTGGCGAACGTTGGTACCGCCTGGCGAAGTTTTTTTGGGGGGTTCGAGATTATTTACAGTGAAACCGCCATTTAACGGATTTTTATCTTTGTATTTTTCGTTGGTTGGGATTTTCATTTTTAACGGACCCTCCATATAACGGATTTTCCTCTAAAGTTCGTTAGTTTGGAGTTTCATTTCTAACGGGCCCTCGATATAACGGATTTTTTATCTCTGTACAATCCGTTAGTTGGGAGTTTCATTTCTAACGGACCCTCGATATAACGGACTTTCCTCTCCGTCTAGTCCGTTAAACAGAGGTTTTTACCGTATAATGAGTATTTCTTAGTTGGCTACCTCTCCTACCTTACTTAAAGTATAAACAATAGGTTGACAATATTGTTGGAACTCTCTTATTTACGCTTTTATTTTTTTCTCAAGAGTTTATTGTTTTCGGGAGAGGAATTGGAACTGTTCTTGTAGTGGTTGTCTCTTGCCTGATTGATAATTAAGAGAAACAAAAGAAAAGTTGAGGATTAATTATAATTGGCAGGAAAATTGTCAGGGCGATTAATTTATGAGAAGAGGAAAATTATCAGGAAAGGAGGGAAATTATCAGGGAAATGTAGAAATTATCTGGAAAATGCAGAAATTATCTGGAAAATGTAGAAATTATCTGGAAAATGTGGAAATTATCAGGAAAATTAGGAAATTATCAGGAATAATAGGGAAATTATCAAAACGTAGATTCTTCCGGAAAACGAATTATCAACAACAACAAAAATCCATAAATTAAAATTATCACAAAATAATTAAAATTAAAAAAACAAATTATCAGAGAAAAAAATTTCCCTCCAAATAAAAAATAATCCTAATTCATTTCATTTTTTTTTCATTCTTATTTTCTCCCGTATTTTCCACATTCTTATTTACTAATTTATTCACTTTTTTACATCTTATTTTTATTTATCCATTTTTATCAGTAGTATTTTGATTTTATATTTAATATTTTATTTTTATTTTACATATTTTTCTTATTTTAATTTTTTCCATTATTTTTATTATGAAATGAAAGAAGAGGAAGAGGAGAAAAATATGAGGGAAGAGGAAGGTGATTAAAGGAAGAAGAGGGAAGAGAAGGAGGAGAAAAAGACGATGATGATGATGATAATAAGGGGAAGAGGGAAGAGGAACATGATAAAGAGGAGGAGAAGACGATGATGAAAGGAGTAAGCAGAAGACGATGATGAAAGGAGTAAGCAGAAGACGATGATGAAAGGAGTAAGCAGAAGAAGAAGGAGAAGAAGATGGTGAAAGAAGTAAGCCGAAGAAGAAGGAGAAGAAGAAGGTGATGAAAGGAGGAAGAAGAAAATCAAGAACAAGAACTAAAGAAAAACAAGTGAAAATAGGGTGATAAACTCAAGGGAATACAAAGAAATAGAGAAATAGATTAATTTACCTGTAGTAAGACTTGAAGGTAATGATGGCAGGTGTGTTCAGCAGGTGTGTTCAGCAAGTGATGGTCAGCAGGCAGTGGTGTTCAGTTGGTGTGCTCAGTAGATGGTGCTCAACAAATATGTTCAGCAATGTGTTCAGCAAGTAATGTTCACCAAGTGTGTTCATCAGGTGGTATTGACAGGTGCTCAACAGATGGTCACACTCGTGGTTTTTCAATTCTGTGGTAATTCCCAAAGTTTCGAAACTTCAGAATCTGAGGAACATGAACGTTTAGAAGTCACTGTCTCATCTTTTGGTTCGGTCTCAGTTCAAAGGTTCATTGAGTAGAATTTCCAGACTTAATATAATAAAACACAAGAAAATCATATAGTGAAATTTTATAGTGTCATATGTAGAGAGAATAATGATGTATCGAATCACCCAGGTATGAAATCACCTAGGTATCGAATCACCAAAGTCTCGAATCACCAAGGTATCGAATCACCCAGGTATCGAATCACAAAGGTAACGAATCACCAAGGTATCGAAATACCTAGGTATCGAATCACCAAAGTCTCGAATCACCAAATGTATCGAATTAACTAGATCTCGAATCACCAATATGTCGGAAACACGAACCGTATCGAACGCAACACGACTGAAGTATGAGACAATCTTTGAAACCTGTCTCGTCCACTCACCCTCGACCACTACACTGTCTTCTCCTCGATGCCCAGGAGGTCACTGCGTCTCCCTCACACCCTCCCTTCCTCCCTCATGCCTCACCCCCCCCCCCCTTCACACCAGACAGACAGACGGACGGACGGAGGCAAGGACGTTATCATCTCTTTGCTTGTTGGGGAAGTTTTCTGATCTCATTCATCCTGTTTCGACTCACATCCCGAGCTTTCTATGTTGTTTTGTTATACTAGGGTGTGGTAGGGTGTGTTATAGGTGTGGGTAGGGTGTGTTATAGGTGTGGGTAGGGTGTGTTAAAGGTGTGGGTAGGGTGTGTTAAAGGTGTGGGTAGGGGGTGTTAAAGGGTGTGGTAGGGTGTGTTAAAGGTGTGGTAGGGTGTGTTAAAGGTGTGGGTAGGGTGTGTTAAAGGTGTGGGTAGGGTGTGTTAAAGGTGTGGGTAGGGGGTGTTAAAGGTGTGGGTAGGGTGTGTTAAAGGTGTGGTAGGGTGTGTGTTATAGGTGTGTTAGGGTGTGTTAGAAGTGTGTAAGTGTGTTAGAGTGTGGGTTTAGTTGTCTAGGGGTGTTAATAGGAGTGCGTTAGGGTGTGTTTGAGGGTGTGTTATGGGGTGTTTTAGGTTGCGTTAGGGTGTGTTTGAGGGTGAGTTTGGGGTGTATTAGGGTGTGTTTAGGGGTACGTTAGAGTGTGTTGGAGCAGGAGGTCTTCGGCAAGGAGGGACAAGTTGGCAACCCGCATCTTAGTGTTAAACCCACGCGCCCTCCTCGCCCACACCCGATCATTTGTGTGTGTGTGTGTGTGTGTGTGTGTTTGTGTGTGTGTGTGTGTTTGTGTGTGTATGTGTGTTTGTGTGTGTGTAAATTTATGTATATGAGTGTGTACGTGTAAATGTATATCTATATGCACACACACACACACACACACACACACACACACACACACACACACACACACACACACATTATCCCCGATACCAAGAACAAGAGAGAGAAAGGAAGCCACGATAGATGTGCCCAAAAGGTTTCCACTGAAGCCCTACCCTGAGGCTTCCTGGACCTGGCAGCCTTAGTCACCATAGTGAAGATTGTTACGTTCATGGGCAACTTACGAAGTAGTATTTTTCCAAACTTAATCCTAGCTGACCTGACCTGACCTGACCTGAACTGACCTGACCTGACCTAAACGTACTAAAAATAATAATAGGAAGCATTACATTACACACAGAGTTAATTACTAAACATGTCACCTTATCTTAACTATTAGAAAACACAGGTATAGTGATCCAACCTTGAAGATGTATTTTGGGAATAACTTGACTAAATTGGGTGGTTATTATGAGTCACGTGTGAGGTTGTTGGAGATGGTTAAGGATGGTTAAGCTTGTTAGGATGTTCTTGGTGGTGTCTGTCTCACTTATAGAATAGGTTGATGCTGGTACATGATTCTGCCTAGGTGTGTGTGTGTGCGCGTGTGTGTGTGTGTGTGTGTGTGTGTGTGTGTGTGTGTGCGTGCGTGTGTGCGTGTGTGTGCCTGCCTATTAGTTTATTCATCTCCCTATCTACTGTATATTATCTATCTGTCTATACATCTAGCTACCTATCTATAATTTAGGTTAGATTAGGTTAGATTAGGTTAGGTTAGGTTACGTTAGGTCAGGTGTTAATCTCTTAATCTAGAACACCTGTATGTACACGTCACACTCTCCACCATCTGCATCTCTTCTTCTTTATTCTCTCTTGTCTCATCTCTCTCCTTCCATTGGTCTTAATAACGTTAAATATAGATGAATAAGCCACAAAAAGCCAACTGTGTGGTGTGGGTTGGGGAGGGAGGGGGGTTGGGGAGGGTGGGTGGGGAGGAAGGCTGTGACAGGGAGAGAGCACAAGTGACCATCCTCAACACCTCTCTCTCTCTCTCTCTCTCTCTCTCTCTCTCTCTCTCTCTCTCCCCAATCACCTCATCCGTGCAGTTGACCACTTCTAACAGCTGGTACAAGTCATTGTTGGACGGCGATGAGCTTCACACACACACACACACACACACACACACACACACACACACACAGGAGCCCACATATCTAAGTAGCAGTATGCAATACGGTCCAGGACCTCTATGTAGCAACCCGCATCTTGCTGTTCACCTCTTCTCTGTGACACACACACACACACACACGCACACCCACCTGCTTGCTTGATTTTTATTTATCACGTAATAGCTTTAATAATTATATATGTGTGTGTGTGTGTGTCTAATCTAATCTTTGGGTAATGTGTGTGTGTGTGTCTGTCTGTCTTTGGGTGTGTGTGTGTGTCTGTCTGTATCTCTGTCTTTGGGTGTGTGTGTGTGTGTGTGTGTGTGTCTAATATTCAATGTGTGTGTGTGTGTGTGTGTGTCTGTCTGTCTGTGCAATATTTGGGTGTGTGTGTGTGTGTGTGTGTCTGGCTCTTTGGGTGTGTGTGTGTGTGTGTGTGTGTGTGTGTGTGTGTGTGTGTGTGTGTGTGTGTAACCTCTTAATTCGGTGTCATATATTTTTCGTGTTTGAATGTCTCAGTGAACGTTTCTTTGAGTAAACATACACGATAAGTATATTGACAACTCTCTCTCCACACACACACAATTCAATCTTAGTCCTGAACGATTCTAACATAATGACCTAAAAGGTAAACTAAATTAACTAATGCAGGTAAATAAAGGTAAAGTACATCTCATTAAGGTAGAGTCTTGACGTGAGTTTATCTCCAGAATGAGAGGAGGTGGATTGAAGGGGAGGAGAAGGGGGAGAGGTGTAGATGGGAGGGGTGTGAGGGGAGGGGTGTGAGGGGAGGGGTGATGTGAGGTGTGAGGGGAGAGGTGGGGATTTGATCAAAGAAGTGCCGCTCGTCTTTGCTTCACGTGGTTGAGCACTTGCCCCAGTGACCTAGTGCTGCCCCCCCCCTCCCTCCCTCACTCCCTCCCTCACTCCCTCCCTCCCTACTACAACCACTACACCTCCACAATAACCATCACCACTATCACCATCACCAACACCATAACACCACTATCACCATCACTACACAACACAACACCTCCACCATAACACTGTGACCATCACCACCACACAACACCACCACCATCACAACACCACCACACAACACCACCACACAACACCACCACACCACCAACAGACACAGATACAAGTACAGGTATAGATTGCAGGTCTTAATTACAGGTGTAGATACAGGTAATGATACAAATGTTTGATTACAGCACAAAAGCCACTGTGAATGAACCTAAGAGATTACTACCTCCTATTGGTGTAAATAATAAGGAAATGCGTTTTTCCTCGACTACTTTCAGAAAGGTATTTACATGTCACTTTGCCTTTCACCATCTGTGGCTGAGGAAATAGATGACGTGTTCTCCCTCTAAGGCGGGTGAAATATCGCCTAAACCTGTCAAGACGTGCAATGATATAATCCAAGATGGTGGACTTATAAACAAACCCAATATGAGCTAATGAGAGAAGGAAGGTGGGAGTGGCCTACTTCTCTCTCTCTCTCTCTCTCTCTCTCTCTCTCTCTTCTACTCTTGTTGGTGACATTGGTGGTGAGGATTAAATGCGGTGGTACAGTCTCAGTGCAATATTGATACCATTCTGACTACTGCATCAGCGCGTCAGATGCGTAGGAACCTCTGAAATTTTCCATCTTTGTGTAGCATTGTAAACTAGTCTCGTCTACAAATATTGGCAGGGAAGTGAAGAATAGCGTCTGGTCTTTTATTTATAAACAGCAACGGCCCCAGTACATTGCCCTGTGGAACATTACTTATCACGCCAGAACGTTCCCATAGAATTCAGTATACGTACCTACTAAATGCCTTGGCCCATAAACTCCACCAGGATCTGTGACCATACATACAGTACTTTCTCCAATAGCTGAGTCCTAACCTAAACCAGCGCGTGGCAGACCGTCTGAGTATAATATTCTTTAATAATTTACACACACTGCTGGTCAAACTCACCATCTTAAAATTCTTCTTGGAGTGGCGAGACTCTGTTTTGGATATAGGAGCCACATATGTTACTTTATTTTTCTCACAACTGTTAGGAATCTTTTGTTGGTCCATACTTCTGCAGATCTAGTTTTTTAAAAGGAGTTCTAAAAGCGCCTGTCAGTACTATCTTGACACTGTGGGTGGTACACTCTCAGGGTCAGGGCAGTTAAGAACTTTCTGAGAGCTCAGCATTCTCTGTTGTATCTGTACTTGTATTATTACATTATCTTCATCAGTAGTTTGTCAGGCGGTCGGTCAGGTCTCCATTACACGTTGGCAAGTACTGTGCATGTACTGGCTCTCTGCTGTACACTGTTGGCAAGTACTATGCATGTACTGGCTCCAGGATGTTTCTATACCTACACCAGTGTTGGTCAAGTCTGGTCTTGACTGAAGTCACACTCGGTGCCGTCACAACGCTCAGGCATATTGTTCCAACAGTTCACACTTCTCACTCCAAAAAAAATTTGCCCTGACAATTTTCTAAACTTGTGGCTTCTTCAACCTTAAATTATTACTCTCTGCATTGAAGACATATAATCGTCGTACTTAGCTTTAGTTTCCGTCAAATATATTTCGTTTTCTATAAATATGATTCTAAAGAAAATGAAAGTTTAGTGCGTAACTATAATAAATATATTAATAACCTTCATCTGGGTATTGTGGTTGATATATTCCGTAAATAAACTTTGGCTTTAAATCAAGGTTATACACTTGGTCTGTGTGTGTGTGCGTGTGCGTGTGTGCGTGCGTGTGCGCGCTCGCTCGTAGTTCTGGTGAGAGGGATGGAAGGAGGGATAGAAGAGACAAGTTGAGAAATATAACTACTTATTCATCTACATACATACATACATACATACATACATACATACATACATACATACATACATAGTTAATAGTAAGATAAAGAGATAAATATTTGAACAAACGGGACAAGAAACAAAGATGACAAAGTAAAAGGAGAGAGAGAGAGAGAGAGAGATATGCTGTAATCTTCCAAGAAAACTAACATAGTGTGGTCATTGACGAAGCTTGTAGGGTGCCCCCCCCCCTCTCCTCCCTCCAACCCACCCACCCTCCTTCCCTCCCTCCTCCTCTCTCCTTCCTCCCACCTACCTCCTTCCCTCCCTCCTCCTCCCTCTACTCCTTCCCTCCCCTCCTCCCCTCCCTCCTCCCACCTACTCCTTCCCTCCCTCCCCCTCCCCTCCTCCCCACCCCCTCCTTCCCTCCCTCCTCCCTCCCTTCCTCCCTCCCTCATTTCTAACAGTCACAGTTCTACGTTGCACCACACCACTTCGTTCTTCTTAGTACCTGTATTGTTACAGTGGTACAGTGTAAATGCAGTGGTACAGCATGAATACAGTTATACAGTCGTGATACAGTGGTATAGTATTGTTACAGTGGTACAGTGTAAATACAGTGGTACACAATTGTTACAAGGTACAGTGTAGGTACAGTGTAGATACAGTGGTACAGAATTGTTACAGTGGTACAGTGGAATTATATCGAATACGTTTCAGGCAATACAACGATGCAGGTACAGAGAGAGAGAGAGAGAGAATAATGCAACAGGTTGAAATATTCCGTCATACTCGTTCAATTTATTAAAGCCAGTACAGGTGAAATAATGGAACCCGTGACGTAACAACCTAACCTAACCTAAGCTAACCTAATCCCATTCCCTGAGGTAGGATTAGGGCGTTTAATCATCAGATCAAATAAGGTAAATGGTTAGGTGAGAGTTAATCTTTACGTGAACAGAAGAACAACACACGAGAAAGATCACCTCCTCCTCCTCCTCCTCCTCCTCTTCTACATAATACCTCTCTGTGTGGCGAATGAGGTTGACTGAGACACACACAGACACAGTGAGAGAGTGAGAAAGGTCCCTTGTTAACTATGAGATTATATAAGCCCTTACTGCTTTATATAATGGCAGTAGTGAAGAGGGAAAAAATATATACAGTACCTCGGATTTTTAGTGTAAATATATTGTATGAGTTTTTTCGTTGTTTAGTAAGTTTTTGCTCGGTTTTCGTTGTTTAGTAAGTTTTTGCTCGGTTTTCGTTGTTTTATTTATTCATGAATAGAAATATTTTGTATCGTTTGAGGAAATTATTTTTTTTTCGACAAACTCGAATGTGTGTGATCAGCTGTTGTCTGTTGACGTAAACAAATGGCGGGGAGAAGACGGTGGAGTTGTTGTTGTTTATTATGTGTTGTGGTTGTTGTTGTTGTTGTTTATGGAGCATATGACACAGCACTGAGCGAGAAATTAATAAACAAACATTTGAGAGAATCCTGAACCTAAACTAACGTGTCCGGGGTGTTAAACGTTCTCGGGGTACAAACGTTTGTACTTGAGCGTGAACGTTGTTGTACCCTTCACAGGTGGTAATTTTAATCCCGTAATGACGATAGACGCACAGCTGGTGATGATGATGGTCGTACAGGTGGCGCTTGTTGTCCAGTTGGTGACTTCTCCCCAGATGGTGACAGCTATAGTTACGGGACCCAAACTACCCGCCCGGAGCACCATCTCACCTGCTGGTAAAGTTAATCAACACCTTGTTCTCCCTGGATTAGTGTTAACTATGATTAACCTTTAACCACATCCATATTTTAATTCTGAGTTATAATGATTTAATTATAATGATAAATACAGCTTTTTTGGGGTGTTTTTATTCGTTTATTTTTTATGATTTTTTTTTGTACTTTTCAGAGATGGAGAAATGCAACGTGTTTCTCAAGGCAGCTTCCTCATTTTACTTACACTCCTTAAATCTCTCCTCACTCTCCCTCACTCCACCTACATCTCCTCCCTCACTCTCCCTCACTGCACCTACTCCTCCCTCACTCTTCCTCACTGCACCTACACCTCCTTCCTCACTCTCCCTCACTCCATCCACACTCACAGAACTTGCACAGAACATTACCGTGAAAATTGTTACAAGAACTAAGAACTACGATGTAACAACCAACACATCTTCACTACCACTATTACCCACCACAATCACTACATCGTCGCTACCAACACCACCACCTACCACAACCAACACATCTTCACTACCACCACCACCACCACCACCACCTGCCACAATCACTACATCGTCGCTACCACCACCACCACCTACCACACCAACACATCTTCACTACCACTATTACCCACCACAATCACTACATCGTCGCACCAACACCACCACCTACCACAGCCAACACATCTTCACTACCACCACCACCACCACCACCACCTGCCACAATCACTACATCGCTACCACCACCACCACCTACCACAACCAACACATCTTCACTACCACCACCACCACCTACCACAACCAACACATCTTCACTACCACCACCACCACCTACCACAACCAACACATCTTCACTACCACCACCAGCACTTACCACAATCACTACATCGTCGCTACCACCACCACCTACCACAGCCAACACATCTTCAACCACCACCACCACCACCTACCACAATCACTACATCGTCACCACCACCACCACCTACCACAACCAACACATCTTCACTACCACCACCACCCACCTACCACAACCAACACATCTTCACTACCACCACCAGCACTTACCACAATCACTACATCGTCACTACCACCACCACCACCTACCACAACCAACACATCTTCACTACCACCACCACCTACCACAACCAACACATCTTCACTACCACCACCACCACCTACCACAACCAACACATCTTCACTACCACCACCAGCACTTACCACAATCACTACATCGTCGCTACCACCACCACCACAGCCAACACATCTTCACTACCACCACCACCACCACCTACCACAATCACTACATCGTCACTACCACCACCACCACCTACCACAACCAACACATCTTCACTACCACCACCACCACCTACCACAACCAACACATCTTCACTACCACCACCACCACTTACCACAACCAACACATCTTCACTACCACCACCAGCACTTACCACAATCACTACATCGTCGCTACCACCACCACCTACCACAGCCAACACATCTTCACTACCACCACCACCACCTACCACAATCACTACAACGTCACTACCACCACCACCTACCACAACCAACACATCTTCACTACCACCACCACCACCTACCACAATCACTACAACGTCACCACCACCACCACAACCAACACATCTTCACTACCACCACCACCACCACCACAATCACTACAACGTCACTACCACCACCACCTACCACAATCAACACATCTTCACTACCACCACCACCACCACCACAATCAACACACTCACCACCACCACCTACCACAACCAACACATCTTCACTACCACCACCACCACCTACCACAATCAACACATCTTCACTACCACCACCACCTACCACAACCAACACATCTTCACTACCATCACCACCTACCACAATCACCACATCCTCACTACTACCACCACCACCACCTACCACAATCACCACATCCTCACTACTACCACCACCACCACCTACCACAATCACCACATCCTCACTACCACCATCCACCACACGAGGGTCTATTATACCACACACACTAATAACTACAACCACACAACTACCATCACTTGTTTACAAAGTTATTAACACGAAATACATAAGTCCCTCAGGTAAAAACAACATAGCTATTGCCACAACACTTACCAAACACACACACTCATCCAAACACACTCGCTTTACACACACCAAACACACACACTCATCCAAACACACTCGCTCTACACACACCAAACACACACACTCATCCAAACACACTCGCTCTACACACACCAAACACACACCCTCATCCACACCCACTCTCTCTACACCCTCATCTAAACACCCACCTAGAGACACACACGCCCTCACGCTGGCAGAATTGGGGCAAAACATCAAGATTATGATGAAAACCAAACTGCCTCAGTTAATGAACCCGGAAATAACAGAGCTGCTGAAAAAACGTAAGTCTGGTCTCCTATTACTTAATTCAGGGTCACGTAAGAGTTATATATGATTAGATAAGGTTCATGTTACAGTGAAAAATCTCTCTATAATGGACTTTCATTTCTTATAATAGTTCGTTAGATGAGGATTTCATATCTAACGGACCCTCCATATTACGTTCTTTCATCTCCTTATAGAGAGGGTTCACTATAATTGTCATTTAAGGTCAATTAAGGTCTTTTGAGGTCATTACCAAACACCTAACTCACTAATAACTGTACATGACCTAAAGATATACAGCACTAGTTAAGTTTGGTTTGGTTAGAATAGATTAGGTGACACACACACACACACACACACACACACACACACACACACACACACACACACACACACACACACACACACACACACACACACACACACACACACCCCATTAACGAAGCACCATCACTAACAGCACCATTCCTTCTCTAACCACACAGCATACTTACTACGAACCCGGGTCGCCCAGCGTAAATTAGGAGCCACTCTACAAGAGCCACTACCACCACCCTTGAACACCACCCGTCAGACTACCATCACCACCTGTCCTCTCCTGCACCTACAGCAGCTTCTTGAACACCTGAGCAAGACACTGGGGTTCATGCTGTCAATGTTGCCTCAGTCACTCGAGGAACTGGAAGAAGCTATGTGGAATGATCCTATACAGTATAATTTCTTCAGAGAGGATGGTATGGTTAACTGTTTTGGTGTGTGTGTGTGTGTGTGTGTGTGTGTGTGTGTGTGTGTGTGGATAATCACCCCACAATTGCCTGATGTCTAAAAATCCTCCGACCTACATAAAAAAACCCACATAAATATACATACATACATACAGACACACGTACTAATCCATCCTCCTCTTTTCCACAGGTCGAGTTATCTTAGACGTCAACAACTGTGTAGAGTGTTACGCTAAGGACCCAACTGGTAAATGCCGAGAGCTCTTTTTCTGTAAGGGGGGCGAGACGGTATACAGATCTATGTTTGCCCAAGCTGACCGAATAAGACGAATGAATGGGTAGTGACTCACCTGAATGTTGTGAGGTATAGTCAAGTCTCAAACTAAACTTGATCATCGTTCTATGCCCTGTCTGTTGTGTTGTCTATGTCAGTGTGATGATCGCTATGCTACACCTCAATTGTTTATTTCTGTATATCGTAAACAACACAGTGCGCACCTCATCTGTCTGTCTCCTCACTTGGATAAACACCGTCGAACACAGCTCTCCCGTCTCCTACACCGTCGAACACAGCTCTCCCGTCTCCTACACCGTCGAACACAGCTCTCCCGTCTCCTACACCGTCGAACACAGCTCTCCCGTCTCCTACACCGTCGAACACAGCTCTCCCGTCTCCTACACCGTCTTACAACTGTCTATCCGTCAACGCTAGACAGATATTGTATCCTCAAGCCATTGATGTTTGGCGAGACTGTCAACAGCTAACATCGTCATCAATATTCTTCTCTATGTTTATAATTTATTTTCTTTATGTCTATTGTTAATAAACATTCATAAAGGAAAAAAATATTAGTGTCTTTTATTTATTCTTCACTTGTTACGTATTATTATTATTATTATTATTATTATTATTATTAGTAGTAGTAGTAGTAGTAGTAGGCTAGTAGTAGTAGTAGTTTTTTATTCTTATTATTATTATTACTATCATTATTTTTACTTTTACTTGTACTTTACTTTTATTATTATTATTATTATTATTATTATTATTATTATTATTATTATTATTATTATTATTATTATTATTATTATTATCTCACTATATTAGAAACGTCAAATAAACGTGATTTCAATAAATAAAGCAATTGGCTTAAAATACAATTTCAAAAGCTCGTTCTATCTCCCAAGGAAAATATTTTGATAAAAAATTTTTAAATAAATGTTCCTCTGTTTTATATTAACAAATTACAATAAATATGATGTTCTAGATAAAAATAAGAATCCGTCTGCGATCCCAGCTACACGAACGTAAACAACTTCGTCCCGGATTCGTAAGATTCCACTACACGAACGTAACAACTTTCTCTGGGATTGAGGAAAATATCCAACAAACATTTTTTTTTATTACACACGTTCAAACAGACATCAGAAGCAACACAGTAATACACTGAGGACCACGATATACAGAGCCAAACAAAAATAATAACAATAGATTTCATATATAACAAAATCTGGATCTGTTTTTTTTTGGCACGACTGTTCAATCGAAAATATTATAATTTCTCACTCTAATATATAACATACAGGAACCTTATAATATATACCTGTGGTCTAATATTAATATAAAAGTATAAAAGTATAAAAAATAAGTCTACTTTGAGGATTGGAAAGTATTATATACCCTGTAAATGGATGTTACTCTTTGTTAATGACTTATGTTACCTTGGCTTAATACATCACGTAGACAGATAGACAGAAACAAAGATAGACAGACAGGCTGAAAGAAAGTGAGACAGACAGAAAAAGACAAAAACAAAGATGGACAGACAGACAGAGACAGAAAAAGACAGAGACAGAGACAGACTGACATACACACACACACTATACAAAAAGGTAATTCATTTGGTCTTGGTAACATTATCTGGTAAAACCTATATTAACATAAATATATAGTCTGTCATATACATATAGATGGCATGAAATATTAATAGATTCATATTTAACATTACATTACTAATTAATTATCACAGTTTGGGTTAATTCAATAGACAATGTTTAAATGGATTATGACAAATAGTGGAATAATAATAATAATAATAATAATAATAATAATAATGATAATTAATAATAATAATTAATAATGGTAATAAAAAAAATAATATTAATAATAAATAATGATAATATTAATGAAGTAAGTTCACTACAGCTCTATAAACTTCACATAACACTAATGAATAAATTTAGAAAAAAAAATAAAAAAATAATAATAGCTTAGCACACTCATCTATTTATTCCAAAACAAAAACACAGAAAATCAGCATAAACAACAAGAACAATAAGTGTAACTGGTTTAACTTTAAATAAACAAATAAATAAAAACATTAAACCCAGAGAATAGTGACTATAATAAAACTGAGTTGAGGCGAAACTTGACAGAAGGAAAAACAACAAACCAGTTTAATCACTTGAGTTTAAAACGTGTGTATGGTGACGACAAAAACACACAAACTGGTTTAATTTTGGCGCTTGGTGAAACGTTTGTACAATGACACTTAAAATACAGTACACGATAATAAAACTAGTTTGATCTTATATCTTCAGTGAAATAGTACCCTTTGTATTTAAGGTTTATTAGGCATAGGATCAATTAAGACTAGAGTCCATTAGAACAGGTCCACTAAAACATAACCCATTAGGAATGGGGGAGGGTCCATTGTATGCAGTGAACCACTTATATAAGGACCAGGGGGTATCTTATACAGCTGGTATACTGAGCAGATGGTTCACTAACTCAGGAGACAGATGGATGACCGTCTTTGTTCTGTAACTTCCTAGACAGATGGTTCAAAAGACAGACAGCTGGTTAACTTCAGAAAGCAGGTGGGTCACTGTCTTTGTTTTGGATGACCGAGAGAAACATTTTGCTGGCGCGTCTTGGTGTTTCCGTAGAGAGGGGCGGCAGTGTCTTGCTTGTGTGTCTCGGTGGACAAAGTACAACTGTTCCTGTTGCTCCCGCTGAAATGGCTGCTGCTTTGGCTGGGTGTTTTTGCGTCTCTAGAGGACTGTCCATCGCTCCTGTAGGTGGGGAAGAAGGAGGGAGAGGAGAGAACGATAGGTTTAGTAAATTGAAGTATTATTATTATTGTGATGGATGATGATGTTAATGAAATGAGGTGAGTGTGTGAATCATGAAACTGAGGGTATGTATAAAGCAATATCTCTTTCTTTCACTCACCATTATGGAAGAAGATGGCTGGGGAAGACTGAAGGGCGGGTCTCTCCTGTAGTGGCAGAGAGGGGAAACGACCAGAAGTCTTAAATGAGGTGTCCACCGGGTAGGAGTTCCTCTTCACGCTCATGATAACATCCCTTGTGTTCTTCTCGGGCTTGAAGAGGACGATGTAGACCTTCGGGAAGAACAGACACCCCAACTGCACGAAGCCTCTGGAGAACAATAAAAAAGACAATATTTCATCACCATTGCCACGTGAACTAGCTGTGAGGGTGACGTGTATATTTTGGACCTATAAAACAAAGATTCCTAATGGGTCCTGGTATTAATGGGTCCTGGTATTAATGGGTCCTGGTATTAATGGGTCCTGGTATTAATGGGTCCTGGTATTAATGGGTCCTGGTATTAATGGGTCCTGGTATTAATGGGTCCTGGTGTTTATGGATCCTGGTATTAATGGGTCCTGGTGTTAATGGGTCCTGGTATTAATGGGTCCTGGTATTAATGGGTCCTGGTGTTAATGGTCCTGGTATTAATGGGTCCTGGTGTTAATGGGTCCTGGTGTTAATGGATCCTGGTATTAATGGGTCCTGGTATTAATGGGTCCTGGTGTTTATGGATCCTGGTATTAATGGGTCCTGGTGTTAATGGGTCCTGGTATTAATGGGTCCTGGTATTAATGGGTCCTGGTGTTAATGGATCCTGGTATTAATGGATCCTGGTATTAATGGATCCTGGTGTTAATGGATCCTGGTATTAATGGATCCTGGTATTAATGGGTCCTGGTATTAATGGGTCCTGGTATTAATTGGTTCTGGTATTAATGGATCCTGGTATTAATGGTCCTTAATACTAATAGCTGAACCTTATATAAATAGATTAAAACAAAATCCTGTCATGACTTAAATGCTCTATAATGCCATAATAAAACTTGATCTAGATAGAGTGACTCAATCTTCCACTTAGGGTGACTAGAGGGCCGTAGACTCACCCTAGAGAGAGGAACATAGCCAGGGTGACGATTCTGATGTCATCTGAGGAACCCGTAGATAAGTAGAGAGGAACGAACACAAGCCAGATAAGACAGGTGGTGTAGTTAGTGAAGGCGATGTATCGAGCTTCGTTGAATCCGTCGGGACACTGGTTAACGAGCATATGGATTAACGAAGGTTTAACGAGATCCGTTTAAGTCGACATACTATAAATACTAGTATATTAATTGGTTTGGTTTGGTTAGATATTCAATTTATGGTCATACCTTAAGAAACAAATGATGGAGACAAAATGAAACATCAAAACCTACAGGTAAATTAATTGCTTAACTCACAGGTAAACCGATTCATTAACTTACCTTGCGTGTCTTAATGGCGTAGAGTGTACAGAGCAGCACCAATAGAGATGGATAAATCAGCCCCACAATATAGGTGTAGTCATCAAGACCTCCACAGATCCTGGTCCGGAAGTCTGAGGCCCTATCACACATGTACTTGATATCTGGATTGTGCATCAGTAACCAGACAACGTTGATGATCACCTCAACACTTACTAACAACGACACGATCACCACTTGGGAGAACGGTGACGTGAACTTGGCCTAGAAATTTGCAGAAGGTGAGATGAGGGAGGTAGGGGGGGTAGGGGGGGTGGGGGGGCGGAATTTTAGTACATGTATGTATATTGTTTGTATACTTGTACCGTCTGTAAATGAAAATAAATCAAAGTAAATTTTATATGACAATGACGATATTATTGCATCTCTCTCTCTCAACACGACCCTGGCACAGTCATCAACACCTCACCTTCTGGAGACTTTTGTGATATTCTGCTAAAAATCCCTCGAAATCCTAAAGTTGGTCTTGGTGGAGATGGCGGCGTAGCAGACGGTGTAGATGAAGCCGAGAAGAACCTAGTGAGGCCACATGTCATCCGGGAGGGCGGCGCCACGATCACGAAGCTCATGACGAAGGAGAAGAAGATTCCCCCTAGCAGGATGTAGGAGAGTTCCCTGGAGGAGGCTTTGATGACGGGAGTGTCCAAGTGTACCCAGAAGATTACGCCGACGAGGACCGTACTAAAGATACCTGGAGGTGGAGAAGAAGACGTTAGGAGAGAGAGAGAGAGAGAGAGAGAGAGAGAGAGAGAGATGCTGCCCCAGACTTAGCGAGGGTCAGTTATTGTAAGAAGGTGCAAAGATGCTGAAAAAAGGGCTGGGTAAATAAGACAGAGTAAAAAAAGAAACAGACAGAAATTCAAATAGACAGATAGAGACAGACAGACAGATCTTAAAACCGTACACAACTCACCTATACTAGCGAAGGCCAGAGAAGTTATAGCCCACCGATTTTTATAGTCGATAAATTTCTCCTCCTTGTCGACACATTTTTCCTGTCCCACTTCAGGCTTCATACACTCACCACAGTCAACACACAGCTGGGTCGTGGTGTTTAGGTACTGGTATGACTGACAGTTTTTACAATACCAACAACACTTGTCTGTCATCTGTTGTGAGGGGTAAATAAATGAGGTTATGACGTATGCCTGATGACGCATTTATAACGTATAATTGATGACTTATGACTCAGAACTGATAATTTATGACTTATAATTGATGACTTGTGATACATTTTTTTTCTTATGATTGACTTATGACTCACAACTAATGACTTATGACTCACAACTGATGATTTAATTCACACTTATGACTCACAACTGATGACTTATGACTTACGAGTATTTTTGCTTGACCCGGCTTACAGGGAATCCCACAAGAAGACTCTGGGAAATCTTGGGAGTCTCTGTATTTCACTGAGTCCATGTCTAGGTGTAGTTCTGCCGTAGCTCCTGTAGTATCTGTAGGAGGTGTAGTGACTGAGTAAGGAGGGGGTGGTGGTGTTTCACTCTCTCTCTCTCTCTCTCTCTCTCTCTCTCTCTCTCTCTCTCTCTCTCTCTCTCTCTCTCTCTCTCTCTCTCTCTCTCTCTCTCTCTCTCTCTCTCTCTCTCTCTCTCTCTCTCTCTCTACTTACTGGTGTAGGTTCCCACTTTGGTCCAGCTGTAGGCGTAATGGTCGTCATGTTGGTAGTTGAGAACACTGTACCTCGCCGGACCTGATCCTGACGAGACGAACCTGAAGGTGCTGTTACTTACGTCTGTAGGGGGAGAAAGAAGGAGTGAGTGGGTGAGTGAGTGAGTGAGTGAGTGAGTGAGTTAATAGTGAATGAGAAAGATGGAGACAGACAGACAGACAGACAGACAGAAAACTCCAACTACAGTACCTGGAAATTGAACGTTAAGGAGGTGATTGTAGAGGTCCTGGCCGTGTATGTGACCATTATGGACCATGGCCTCACATAGTCCCTTTCTACCCTTACACTTGTCCTCCCACATGGTGTGTAGAGCGTGGGCGAAGGCGATGACGGAGTCGCGAACGAAATGTAACCAAGGTACTTGTCGGTAGCTGCCAGTGCGAGGGAAGGGAAGGTTTAAATGTTTATATACCTGTACTATCTAGACACATTGTTTATATACATGTACTGTCTATATACATTTTAAGCTATATACATCAATTGTGTACAGTATACACCTCTTGATCACTAATTATAAACCTGTGTGATGAGGGAGGAATGACCTACTTCTCACCGACGGAGGGGCAGGTGGGGGCGTCGAGAGCACAACCAAGATGCTGCCAGTACTCAGTGAACCACGGGTTGCGGGTGTTGGTGACAGGGGTGAGGTTGGTGAAGTATTCGTCAAACCCCGGGAGTGACCTGATGAGGGGCTGGACTGAGATGGCGCCTTCTGCTACTGCTTCAACGTTCTGGTGGGAGGAGAGAAAGATAGTTGTTTGAGAGACTTTATTGAGATAGAGAGAGAGAGATAAAATGGAAGAGGGAAAAGGGGAAAGAGAAGGAGTTTATGGAGATTGAGAGAAAAAGAGAGAAAAGGAGATAGTTGAGAAAGTTTATGGACATAGAAAGACAGAGAGAGAGAGAGAGAGATATTGGGAGTTATTTTATCTTTCGTCTCTGTAGTATCCATGTGTGAGATAATGTTAATCTCTCTCTTGTCTCCTTCTCATCCTTTACTCCCTCCCTCCCTGCCACCCTCTTCCCTTCCACCATTCTTCCCTCCTCCCCAACCCTTCCACCCTCCTTCCCTCTTTCTTCCTTTCCTCTCACTTCCCCCCCCCCACTTCCTTCTCTTCCTCCCCCCCTGCGTTGCCTACCATCAAAGACGAGGAACTCCCACCGTCAGAGCCAAGCCAGAGGAATCGATTTTGTTGTCCACGAAGTCTGACTGTTTCAAGTGAGTCCCCAGCGCTACTGCCAGCGAATACTTTTTACCGTCTTCACTGTAACGGGTACAGGTTATTAATGAGAGATACAGCGGCAGAGTAGATACAGCACTCATTTTATTCTATACGGGTACACTAGTTTGAACCCCACCACCCACCAATCTATTCACCCCAAGGCGCCCTTAGTCCACCATTCTGTGTATGGGTGCGTATTCAGTGTGGTGTAGTTTTATAATAATTTTGAGCTACGCACACACACACACACACACACACACACACACACACACACACACACACACACACACACACACACACACACACACACACACACTATATATAAACTATTCTAAAGTAGAAGTTATATTCTAACCTGAAAACTTGCCATGATTATTACTTTATATTTATACAAGTAATATAAGTAAAACAGTTAAGTATAATACTTAAAGGTGTATCATTGTGTACTTAAATGCACTGTAAGTATGAATCAAATTAATATCTAGCAATTTAACCACAATCTTAAACAAAATAACCACAAACCAGCACAAATTAACCCTAACATCAGCATGGCCATGAGTCACCTACCATTAACCCAGTCTGTCAACGGGAGAACTTTAACCACGAACGAGAAACTACTTACCATTAGCCTTTCCCTTGATCAAGGCGGTCACCACTCGCTTGTAATCGTCTTCAGAGTCGTCGCTAGAGAGTCTATGATGTGGGGTAGGGAAGCACACGTTGTATTCAGAGGCTTTCTTCAGGAGCTGGTGAAAGCCTCCCTCTCCATACTCCCCGCTGCTGTACACGATGCTGGCGTAGGTCCATTTGAAGTCCCTGTTTGAGATGGGTTAAGTTAGGTTAGGTGATGTGGATGATGGGTGTGTGTGTGTGTGGGGGGGAGGAGCTGTGTGTGTGGGGGGAGGGAGGGCTGTGTGTGGGGGGAGGAGGCTTTGTGTGGGGGAGAGGTGTGTGAGAGGAGGGCATGGGGGGAGGGAGGTGTGTGTGTGAAGGAGGAGCTGTGGGGGAGAGGTGTGTGTGTGTGTGTGAGGAGGAGGAGCTGTGTGTGAGGGGAAGAGGTGTGTGTGTGGGGGGAGGAGGTGTGTGGGGAGAGGAGGTGTGTGGGGGAGGAGGTGTGTGGGGGAGAGGTGTGTGTGTGAGGGAGGGCTGTGTGTGGGGAGGTGTGTGTGTGTGGGGAGGAGGAGGTGTGTGGGGAGAGGTGTGTGTGTGAGGGGGAGGAGGTGTGTGTGTGTGAGGAGGAGCTGTGTGTGGGGAGGAGGTGTGTGGGGAGAGGAGGTGTGTGTGTGGGGGAGGAGGTGTGTGGGGAGAGGTGTGTGTGTGGGGAGGAGGTGTGTGGGGATAGGGTGTGTGTGTGTGTGAGGAGGGCTGTGTGTGGGGGAGGAGGTGTGTGGGGAGAGGAGGTGTGTGTGTGTGTGGGGAGAGGTGTGTAGGAAGGTATGTGTGTGGGGGGAGGAGGTGTGTGGGGAGGTGTGTGTGTGGGGGAGGAGGTGTGTGGGGAGAGGTGTGTGTGTGGGGAGGAGGTGTGTGGGGGGAGGTGTGTGTGTGGGGGAGGAGGTGTGTGTGAGGGAGGAGTGTGTGTTTAGTGCACATAATGCTTGTTGGTGTGTTTGCTGAGCTGTATACCTGCATGTTAAACCAATTATGAACTTGTACAACGATTTTACTGACTATTTTATATATCTTCTTGTCTTTTTTTGTACAAACTTCAAATTAATTTCTATTACATATCCTTCGAGATGTATTATGCAAAAAAATATATTGACTCACTGAAGGACACGTAGGATGGCCTGTGCCTGGGTGGTATCAGAGGGCACAGTCCTTAGGAAGAAGGGATAGCGGTCCTTGTTGCTGAGAGTTGCAGAGGTGCTGAGATAACTGATCTGAGGCAACTCTATTACTCTCAGCACACTGGCCATCTGTGTAAAAAAAATCATTAGTTTTGGGGGAAAAAGTCATTCATAAGAACTTGAGATACGTTGGTGTTAAAAGTCATAATCCAGTGTAATTTTCTGTCATTTTGCCACACCTACCATGGGAGAGGAAGCCAGCGCCTAGTCTCAGTTTCCTAAATAAGTTGAAATTTGTTTTTCTTGGGACTAACACCGGATGCGTTAACTTCTAAAACAGTTAAGTGACTACACGGTTCTATAAACAGATATATTTCCCCATACCGTTAAGTGGGTCATTGTTATTGATGTTTTTGTTGTTATTAACTGCCAACTAAACAGAATAATTGGGTGAATTTATAGCATCATACCGGTCTTTATTTCCGTATTAAAAATATGTATCTCGTAATTTTACACAATTCTAAGACATTCTTCTTGTTATTTCCACCGGAAATTAAGGATAACCGAAATATTATTTTTTCATGTTTATTACTTTCGCTCAGTCACAAGTGTCGCCAAGATTTGTTTACTTATGGGGGAGGTGGTCTGACCCCTGCTCACCGTCGCTCCCAGGGTAGAAATGAATATCACATTCGTTCGAAACTCATCAAAATACATAGGAAAAACCTATCTTTACTATCGAAATAAAAATTGGTGTGATAAAATAAATTGACAGTTTATTCTAGTAACACACACAGTCACAGTATAATATAACCATCAGTGTTGCTACCTGAGGATAAATGACTGCCTGAGACTTGTGTGTAAGTGTGTATAAATTTGATGGAAATATGTTAGTTACCCATAACCATTAGTGCTTTGGTAAAATAGAAAACTTGAATAAGGGAAACTATGCTAATAAACACTATTTTGCCTCCCTGGTTAAACTTTAGATATTTCTATACATACATTAAATAAAAAACAGATTTTATGATGAATAAAATCCACAAAGTGTGATGATAATAATAACAAATATAATGAAGAAAGTTTTAGATATTTATAATAACTTTACGTAACAGTACTTCAAGTAATATAGTTGCGAAATTTTAAAACCACAAAAATACAACTTTAAAGAGAGACAGTGAGCTGTAGGAGTGACTCACGCATCTGGACTAGAGAGAGAGAGAGAGAGAGAGAGAGAGAGAGAGTGACTCACCTGTACTGAGACTGACGACTGCTGACCACCTATCACACCCACCACCTTGTCAAACTCACCGCCGCGGTAGGTCGGGGCGCTGCCGTCACCACACGTAAACTCTGATTGATGGTACTTGTTATGACCAGCCAGATACCCTGAGGTCATACCAAGGTCAAACAGGGAATTAGGTTCAGATAATGACACACTAGCTCTCAGACAAAATGATACAGGGTGACACATTATGATACAAACATGAACACGTACAGAGTGTCATATATGGGCATGTGTACTGTAGATACAGTTTTGTGCTGGACAGGATGGGGCTTTGTGTGTTATCTGGTCAGGAGGCCATCCAGGTGTGTGTGTGTGTGTGTGTGTGTGTGGGTGTGTGTGGGTGTGTGTGTGGATGGATGGGTGGGTGTGTGTGTGTGTTCACGTACCTTTAATAAACCCTAAGGTCTGATTCAGGGCTAAATTTGGGGCATTACAGGAGTCCATGACGAGGGCACCGAGTTTGACCCCTGGTAAGAGGTCAGGGTCTTCGTTGATCTGGTCTAAGGTGTACAGCATGGCCTCCAGTGGTTGGATTCCCTCCTCATCCTGGGGTCAGGTCAAAGGTTAGAAAGGGCACACACACACACACACACACACACACACACACACACACACACACACTTCACTTAAATTTCTCAAAGACTCTTATTTTCTTGACTAACTGGAAATATAAGAACTATGTGACAGGGTAGAGTCTCACTGCAATTTATACGCCATGATTGTTACATATCTGAGCCAATTAACCACGTATTATTTTCACCAATTAAGAGTCAGTGAGAGTTCGTCGGAATGTCTAATAGTTACGGAACATCTAAAGATTAAACCTCGACTTATTCCACTTGATGCTTAAGTACCCTAACACTACCTAGGGGGTGTTTAGATAGGATAGGATAGGATATTTAACCATCAGGAGATATAAACTAGGGTGTCTAATTTTCATGTGATCCGTAGTACCTGTCCTTTACACCTGTATATGATAAATAACAATCTTAAAACTTACCTGTAACTCACCACACACATTGACTCCCGTCGCTACGTCTCGTTGTCTTGTGTGTATAGGAAACAGCGCCCCCAGCAGTATGTTGGCGTCCTTGGGGTAAACCAGCGACTGCCCCAATGTGTTGTCTGGAGTAGTGGTTACCGCAAGGGCTGGAGAAGGACCTACCACGATCCATAATCCCAGTACCAGTGTCAGAAGGAGCGATGGTGGTGATGGTGGTTGTTGCTGTTAAGTGTGAAGAAGGGAGGTAGTATGAGCGAGTGTGTATGAGAGGGGGGAGGGGGAAGGGGTGGGTGGTGGGGGGTTCGAGGGGCGGGGGGGAAGGAAGTTAGACCTGACAATGAGCTGTACTTGTGGCTTCTTTAACCTAACCTAACCTAATCTAATCTAATCTTTTTATACAGTATCCTATGAAACTCATCACACACACACACACACACACACATAAATACACAATCACATAATTATAACTGGCTGGTATTTCAATTTTCAGGTACACACATACAGTACACGCACACACCTTCCCACATATTTCCTGTCTCCCACGATCTCTCTCTCTCTCAGCCACACACCTCTCTATGACTCCCAGAGAAGGCATGTCCAATCCAGCACTCACAGGACAAGGAAGTAATGACTCACACCTGACGCTTCCCTCCCACTGTTTACACCACCTCACCTGGGCAGTGGCAACGCCGTGACGTCATTCGGGGAACCCCCTTCCGTACAGTCACCTTTTTCACCTACAATCGCGTCGTTACATACGCTATATAGTCCCTACCACACGTTCAGATTGCGTAATAAACCTTCTAATTCACTATAGCAGTGTTTGAACTGTAGTGGGGAACTGTGATTGTTGTTTATTAAGGGGGAGTTGTTTCGTCGTCCGTCAGGCAACGAGGTGGATTAAGAAGAAGTTGTCGTACAGTAGGTAATGACAGGTAACGAGACGGAAATGAAACATACTTGAAATATGTTGAGAATTAAATTTACTTAATTATTTTACCGTTTATTACCAAGGGCGGATCCAGGGAGAGTTCTGGAGGTCCGGACCACATCCCCCCCCCCCCTCCCTTTAACCAGAAAACTCTAATATCTTTTCTTTAATGCAGTATTGTACTTAGACATTTTTGTAGAGTAAAAAGTAAGTACTACTAACCTCAGAATACCTCCTAATATCAATGGCCTCAAAATAGTCATAATATTGGACAGTTATTAAGACAAATTCTTGGAGGTTTACAGCTGGGTGGGCTCGCTGTTCACCCACCATAACTTATTGGACCCTAGTTTTGTTATTCCTGGATCCGCCCCTTGTATTATTGTCTCTTATGGTTAACTCTGATTATATTCACGTGTCTCTCTCCTTCTACTTTATTATGATTGTGTATGTCTCTCTGTCTCTCTGTCTGTCTGTCTCTGTGTCTCTGTCTGTCTGTCTCTGTCTGTATGTCTCTGTCTGTCTGTTTTACTTTACTCATCAAGGTAACTCCTGTAATAAAGCCACGTCTTATAATAATCTTTCTCTCATTCCATCTCTCTTTCATCGTCTCTCTCTCACTTTCTCTTACTGCCTCTTTCACTGTCTCTTTGTATCTCACTCTCTCACTATCTCACTATCTCTCACTGTCACAAGATCAAGAAGGGCACCAAGAAAGGATGTTACTAATATAGCCTTGAGTAGTCTCTCTCTCTCTCTCTCTCTCTCTCTCTCTCTCTCTCCTAGTCTAGTCTCGTCTAAAACCTAACCTAACCTAACCTAAACTGAAGATTAACCCCAGCTTATTTCACCTGAAGATTAGCCTAACCTAAGCTTCGAGTGCTTAATCATCAGGTGAAATAAGCTGATGGAGGGCTAATTTGCAGGTGATCCAAGACATCGCTGAAGCTTTCATCAGCATTATATCCTTTACAGTTTACATATAAAGCTTAATAGCTAAAACTGGATACTAAGCTGTTTGTTGACTTACCATTGTGTTCAGAAGTCTTCAGCCGTGTTCAGCAGTGTTTAGCCGTGTTCAGCAGTGTTCAGCCGTGTTCAGCCGTGTTCAGCAGTGTTCAGTAGTGTTCAGCCGTGTTCAGTCACTGTTTCTAGAGGACCTCTCACTATGAACTGTTATTATCACTTTGAACAAACACTTTTATTTGTTATTTTCACTTCTCAATGTGTTAATAAGTTCACTTGGGAGTTTTGAACAAAGTTATAAAAAAGTTTGAATATTTTGGAACCTTTGTATAGGAGAAATATAAAATTAATATATATTTTCTTGTTTTAACATAATTTTACTGTGTTTGTTTCCCTAATGGCCATGGCCACCTGTGGCCACCTGGACTCATGCACACTAATGGCCATGGCCACCTGGACTCATGCACACTAATGGCCATGGCCACCTGGACTCATGCACACTAATGGCCATGGCCACCTGGACTCATGCACACTAATGGCCATGGCCACCTGGACTCATGCACACTAATGGCCATGGCCACCTGGACTCATGCACACTAATGGCCATGGCCACCTGTGGCCACCTGAACTCATGCACACTTAATTGAAAGATCATGAACGTTTACACCCAAAAATTGCACATGACACAAAAACGTCCATGATACAAAAACGTCCATGATACACTAACACGCTCGTGGAAATAAAACGCTCATGAAACACAAACTTGCACATGAAACAGTTGTGTACATGAACACTAAAACGGTCATGAACACTTAAACGTACATGAAAATAAAACGCACAGGAAACACTAAAACGTACATGAACACTGAAATACACATGAGCACTAAAACGCATATGAAAATAAAACTCACATGAGCACTAAAATGTACACGAACACTAAATCGTACATGAGACATTAATACGCACATGAAACAGTAAAACGTACAGGGAATATTAAACGTACAAGTGACACTAAAACGCACATGAAACACTGAAACGTACATGAAACACTAAAACATACATGAAACACTAAAACGTACATGAAACACTGAAACGCACATGAAACACTAAAACGCACATGAAATACTAAAATGTGCCCAGTAATAATAATAAAACAAAAATCACATATCTAAAATTTCCCATAATAATACTGTTCACTTCTAAGTCACTTTAGCACCACACACACACACCTGTAATCTTCAATAACCCAAATAAATGCGTAATTATTTCAGGCTCGTATGACCCGCTGCCCGTCTACACTCGGCGACCTCAGACGAGCGAATGACAGTGAGTCGACGAGAGGCGGGAGGGTAGGGTACTGGGGTAGGGCAACGAATGAGGAGAGATTGAGGGAGGGAGACAGAGAGGGCAGGAAACTGAGGTAGTATAAGGGAGAGAGAGAGAGGAGATAATGAGATGGAGAAACGTAAGATAAAAGGTAATTTAGCAAGAGCCATATAGAGTTGAGACACAGCAGGGAGGAGGGAGGGCGGCGGGAAGAGCACCAGGCCAAACAGCTGACTCAACTCGACATCCTCAGCGGCTAGCGTCCGGTAGACCTTATTTTCCCCCCCCAGGACAAACAACAACACTTCCCATTCTTCCCCTTTCCTTCTCCAATTAACAAATAAAGCATTATATAAACGACTACCACACCAAGTTAAATTAAATTACACTCCTAAAAGAAACTGTAGTCTACCAAATGGATCTAGAATTATTTAGTAGAAAATAGTAAGCTAAGTTAACGTTATAAGACTGGCTGACGTTCATCCTAGATTTAAGAAGAGTTGTATCCGGACTCTCCCAAGGCGTAATGCTGTGTATAAAATGTTTGGTTCCATAAGGTACATTTCTTAAGATGTGTGTGTGGTAATAGTTGGCTTTGTGTTGTGCTTTGTCCAGGTGCAACACGTAGGAGAGAGAGAGAGAGAGAGAGAGAGAGAGAGAGAGAGAGAGAGAGAGAGATAACTGAACCTACCTGCTCCTTTCTCTCTCTTTCTCTCCCCTCTCTTTGCCTTCCTACTTGCCTTCCCCCCTCTCTCTCTCTCTCTCTCTCTCTCTCTCTCTCTCTCTCTCTCTCTCTCTCTCTCTCTCTCTCTCTCAATGTCACACACTGGGTTTTAATGTCAGTGCTTTCCCCTTGGTCTTCCGTCGCTATTTCCCTGAATTTTAAACATTAAGCTCAAACAAAGTATTGACGTGTGTGTGTGCTGGAGACAGGAGACTGATATCAACAGAAAGAAAGATAGAGAGAGAGAGAGAGAGAGAGAGAGAGAGAGAGAGAGTCTATGTTATGTTTCTGCTAAGTGTTGAGCGCTGAGGTGGATTGGGCTAACCACCATTACCACAACCTCTACGTCAAAACTACCACTACTTGTAGACTAGCCCACTATAACAACCACTACTACTAGACTATCCCACAACAACCACTACCACTACTACCACACTCCCACCATCACTACCACACTCCCAATCCATCACTACCACACCCCACCACCACACCACCACACACCACTACCACATTCCCACCATCACCACTCACACCCCCACCCATCACTACCACACTCCCCACCTCACTCACCACACCCCACCGTCACTACTCACACTCCCACCGTCACTACCACACTCCCACTCACCACACTACCACACCACTACCACACCCCACCATCACTACCACACCCCACCATCACTACCACACCCCAAATTCATCACCACCACCCCACCATCACTCTCTACCACAATCTCCACCATCACTACCACACCCCACCACCACTACCACACCCCAAATTCATCACTACCACACCCCACCATCACTACCACACCCCACCATCACTACCTCACCATCACCACACTCCCACCATCACTACCACACCCCACCCTACCACACCACCACACCACCACCACCCCCACCATCACTACCACACCCCACCACCACACCACCACACCACTACCTCTCACACCCCACCACACCACCACCACCACACCCCACCACACCACCACCACACCCCCACCCACACCACCTCACCACAACCACACCCCCACCTCACACCACCTCATCACCACACTCCCACCACACCACCACACCACTACCTCACACTCCCACCACACCACCACTCACTTCACACTCCCACCACACCACTACCATTGATCTCCACCACACCACCACACCAATACCACACTCCCACCACACCACTACCACACTCCCACCACACTCCCACCATCACTACCACACTCCCACCATCACTACCACACTCCCACCATCACTACCACACTCCCACCATCACTACCACACTCCCACCACACCACCACACCACTACCACACACTTGTCGTAATTTCCTCCCCTTCGTCACTCTTATCTCTGGGACCTTCGTAGAAATAAACTGTAGCAGGAATTATTCTCATTTCCCAAAAATAAAATGTTTGTGGTGTAGCGATGATTACATACATACATACATACATACATACATACATACATACATACATACATACATACATACATGTTTAAGAAAGACAGACAGACAGACAGACAGAGAGACAGGAAAGGTTTAAAATTTGAGTATTGGCCCATATCAG